GGGGAAAAAAAAAAAAAAAAAAAAAAAAAAAAAAAAAAAAACACATCATAGTAAAATTAATACTTTCTCCGCTTCGCATCGAAGCTAAAATTCTAACTATTATTTTTTTAAATAAAGAGTAAACATTAAAATTTATTCTGATACTTATTTTAATAAAATATCATTTGATTATTTTTTTTCAGCGTCTCTATTTTTTACACTTTAAATCATCAACAAAAAAAAAATAATACAAGTGATCAATTTTTATTATATCTTTAATTGAACTAAGTAAATTTACGTGTAAATATAAAATAAATATGATGAAACATTTTTTTTTATTAAAATTTGTTCATATTTAAACATTGATAACGAGTAGAGTTTTGGTATAATTTTGAATTTATATTGTAATTATTGTTTATTCAATTTGTATTTTTTTAACATAAAAAAATTATAAATATAAAAAATGATTCATGATAATCATGGGTTTTTAATAGGGATATTAGTATGCAATTGTAAGATAGTTCTTGGCAATATAAAACTACACAAAGTTTAAGTATATCTCTAATAAGTTAGTAATAAATGGTTGATTTTTATCTTTGTTACTAACTAGATGTTTAAACAAATATATTCTTATTATTTAATAAATAACAAAATGCTTGTGATACATAACTTATCTATAAAAATTTTCTTAAATAAAAAGTAAAAGGGTTCTGACTACAACTAGCTCGGTATTGTACAAAATCGAAAACTTACAATTAAAGGCTTAGGAGTACAATATTGCTCTCCAAAAATTACGTGAAGAAACGATCCATAAACTCCATCGTTAATAAAATGTCTTTATTAATAATATCATGTTTAATCGTATGAATTTTTGTGACAAGAGTAGCTGCAGAAACTACAAAATATCTGTCGAGCTTAGCAATAATTTCAACTGGACAGTGAAAATCATTCAATTAGAGCATCGCTCATGGCATCTGAAAACTTTTTATTTCATTACATAATTTTATTTTAAATAAAGACGTTGAGTTTTGAGAAAATAATACTGAACTTGATAATTCACTGAAATAGTATTTCAAATACAAGTTCAAAAATATTGTAGAAGAGAATTATTAATAATTTAATTTTTGTGGATAAAGAGATAACAAATAAATTGATGTATAATAAAATTACTTCATCAATTTGAATATTTTTAGCACCCGGAAATCCTCCGCCAATATCAAATATGTGCATGTTTGTAAAGCCTATTTCCTTTGCATAGCGAAACACATTTCCAGAAGTTGATATAGAGCTTCAGGTTCATTGCATACTGACCCTTCATGAAAACAAACCCCCACAATTGATAAACCTAATCTGAAAGCGTGTTATTCTAGATCACTGCCAAATTTTAAACCTAAACTAGAACTTCCCAAAGATAATGCACAACATCGGTGACTAATCTGTTCATTATAATCATTTTATTAATATAGTTGATAAATCAATGATAAAATCCTTAAATAATTTTAATAAACATTTCGCTTATTTGGAAATTATCCTATTAATTATATAAACGATTTTTAACGTAGAATTTTAAAATTAATAAAGTTTTAATTGTATTCTGCAAAAAAAAAATACATATAACAATAATATCGAATTATGTAAATAATTTTACTAAATCTAAGTGGTTAGTTCATTATTTGTACTCATTTTAATTTTATGCGTATTTAATGAAACATTTTTATGTGTCTTAATTATTTAACTTATTCCTAACAACAACGTATAAACTTAGTGGTTAATAACCTGCCGTACACATTATTCAAACAAATCAGGTATTAAATTATACAGAGCGTTCAGTAAGTAGGAAGCAAGTCAATTGTTACAAACAATGAGAACAATAGATACCTGTTTCCTTATTTTTTGTACACTCAATATGTAATACACGAAAAATTGATAAATAATCTTTTTAAATCAAAATACATTAGTGTATTTCGTATTTCGTATCCTGATCGTATCTTACCATAAAAAGGTTTTATTCGTGACATTTTTTCCATCCATATTTTTATTTTAATAACAACATCACAAATATCAAGAATATGAAAAGGGTTCAGAAAATTCATGTTAAAAATGTTTCAATTATATAGCTTATGCCTCTTGTGTTAGAAAATTATAGTTGATAATCAGGTGTAATCTAATTTGCCATCAATTTATATTTGTTAATAAAAACAAAAATAATCTAGTTGTTTACTCTAATATAAAGAAAAATATCATAAATAAATGTCAACTTTAGTGACCCACTACTATAGTATCGATAATAGTAGTATACTATTACTATACAACTTTTAAAAAGGTTATTTTAAGTAGACTACTATTACTAAATTTATTAATTTATTAAGTAAATTTTATAATATTCAGTTTAATACAACTTTCAATGTTATAAGTTTTTTGAAAAATGATCAAAAACTGAAAATTAATAATTAAAGAACACAGTGTACAAATAAGATAATTCTATTTTTCAAAACTAGAATAATTAGAAATTTTTAACATGTGCTATTACCTACTAGAATAACTTAAAATCGTTTTTTTATCACTTAATTATTTGTAATCCTTTGTTTTTTTGTGTAGGTGGATTTGTTAATTTTATTTAAATTAAAAATCGTATAAATTTTGGTTATGAAAAACAAAAAAATGGAGTTCTATTGTTACTACCTAAAATACTTCAATTATTATCTAAAGACTTTCCTTCCAATAAAGTTTGTTCTCTTACCTGTGAATTTTTCAAAAAGTTATTTCAATATAAGGTGAAAATTGAAAATAATAACAAAATAAAAACAATTTTTTATCTAGATTTCGAATAAGTTTAATTAAAATTGTCTGAATAGTATTTTTATGAAAAACACAAATACAATTTTAAATTTTTTAAAAATATTATTCCCATGGTCTTAAAAATTCCACAACTATAATAGAACAACCCACTATGTTTTTATTTGTATCGGTATAATATGTTTTTAACTTGTATGTTCCATAAAAAAATTGCTTTGGAAAGTTAGCCTCTTGGAGCAATGAAATATCAAAAGCTTTCATCACGTAGAAACCCTGTGAAATATATAAATATAATAATTATTAATTTAGAATAACAAGACTACACTTAATAATTTTATGTATGTATTTTACTTACATTTTACTATACATTTGTATAGTAAAATGACTACTATTAGGTTTTTTTATTTTAAATAAAAATAAGTAATTTACGCCTCCACAGACAAAATATTACACATATTGAGAAAAATACTTAGTTTAATTTTAATAAATATAAAATTTAATTTTAATTATAATACAATAAACATATAAAAATAAGGATAACAATTTATCTATTAAAAACTTTAGCTAGTGAATCAAAAATAAAATAAATCAAAACTATCTATATTTATGCGTTTAGAAAATATTATATTAAGAGTAGTGCATACTATAGTTTTTCTTATTAGTTAGAATGTTTAAAAATAGCGGATATTTAATATCTTGTACCGTGATATTTAATGGTATTTGATTAAGTAATTCTGGACAATAAATATCATTATTCAATAATTTTTATGCAAATTTAAGATCATTATTAAATCTTCTCTTTGTCAAAAAATCCTATTTTATCCCCATTGTTACGTCTTCTAATTAAATATTATTTTTCCTTAGCTTATATCTTAAAAAATATAAAAATCTGTTTTAAATTTTATCTTGTTCTTTTATTTTAAAGTAATGATTCAAAATAATAGACCAGTATTTTATTATAAATAAGAAACAATACAATATAGTTAAACATTATGAGCCATTAAGTTCCAAACAACATCGTTTTAAAAGTTCATGTATTAAAAGATTTATTATTATATAAGAAATGTGTTCCTAAAACGATAGATTACTTGATAATATAACACCTAAATCTTTTATCTGAGAAACCCTATTTTACGTAGTCCCTTTAATATTATAATTAAAAACTTATGTATCTTTACGACGACAAAACGTAATCTGCGCACATTTTGCTACATCGATAGAAATAAAATTATTTTAACACCAACATTTAATTCTATCTAAACCAGATTGTAGTTTTCACAATATTATTATTTATTATTATTATTATTAATTTATATTGCTTATTAAATTAACTACTTAATTATATATATTGTTATCTGAATAATCAAAGTTGACATCATTATAAGATAGTGGCACAATCAACTGTGGTTCCTGGAAAGTAGTGAAAATGAGAAATCTCATACTACACAACATTCTAATAGCTATATGGATTCTCCATACAAAATTTTTAATTGTACTACTACTATAAATATAATAAAAGAACGAAAAATATAATTTTTAATTGAAAAGTTGAGAAAAACATTTACCTGAAAGAAACCGAATAAAAAAATTTCTCAATTTTAAGTTTCTAATGACCTTTGTGAGTACAATGTTTAATACATATTTGTAGTTTCTTTTATCTGAATTATATTATAAATTGTTTAGATACAAATTTTAATAAACAAATTAATAAATTATTTGACATTAATTTAAACAAAGAGACAAATTGGGGTAAATCCCTTTCTAGATCCACCAAATTGCGCCTATGAAACGCCTTATATTTAGAAAGCTTTCTACTAAAAAATACTTACACTGTTAAATGGGCATGAGTAATTGGTAATATTCATGCTATTTACAAACGGCTTCCAAACATTTCCCATCAAATATTTCAGCGTTGAACATGCGTTACTTTTATCATACACAAATGCGTTATCTTTCCATCCTCCTATTTTATCCAATACGGCCATGTTCAAATTTAGCTGCAAAATTATTTTACAATAAGACTTTGATTTTCTATTTTTTTTAAAGTAATTAGCAAAAAAGAAAGAAAATGATGTCCATTCCATGATATTGAAGAGCGGCTCCCAAGCCTATCAATCAGGCTCGTCCACTCGAAGTCCCCTCTTAAATGCAGCCATTAAAACAGTCGATCGTTACTGTACTCTACGGAACTAAATGATAATTCCAAGTATTCATAGCGAATAAGGTGGCAACATAATCCCAAATATTTTTACAAATTCATAATTAATATTCACATAGGTGTAAATTTAAACGAGAATGAAAATTCTACGATCATCTATCACTTATTTCCATGGGAACAAAATAAGTCAATTTGGTTGAAATGTTTATGGATCCATAAGTATTTCATGCCATACAACAATCTACGAAAGCTTTAACACATTCATATAAGTGAATTTGACATGTTTTCACAAATTAATTCAAACAAGATAAAGAAAAAAATGCCAAAGAATTAGAATAAAATTTTGGAATGCAAATTTTATTTCTAAAATGACAATATTTGACTCTGTAGCACCTCTACACTATACTTCCAAAAATAAAAAAACTACATTAAAAAAAAAAACAATACGTTTATACTTTCTATTTAAGTACGCCAAATTTTGGGTACCAACATGAAAGTAAGTTAATTTCAAATAAAAAAAAATATTAAATAAAAGTTGGATAAATGTAATATATTTTTTGGCCAATTTGTTGATTATATTTGTTGCATAGTTTTTTTATTAATATATTTTTTAATGGATTAACACTTAATTTAATCATTAATTATAAATTCATTATTAATATTACGTGAATAGAATCGTCAAATGGGATTTGAGTCGTTATATTGCCCGTCAATGCAGTGACCGTCTTGGAAATTCTTGATAAATGAAGATTTGCTCTTATCAAATAGTCTACACTTGAATTACATGTAAATGCCGCTTTAAATTTTAATTTATATTCACCCTAGCAAATTCTAATAAGAATAAATTATACACAAAATATACTTTTAAATTTTGTTACTTACTACCGGTAGGTTAGGATATAATTTTAATTCTGCACATAAAGTTGTTAAAACAAGAAACGTACAAAAGAAACTAAAGGTTACTCTGTCCATTTTTATGTGACTATATTTTTATTATTATATTATGAATTATATTTACAAAATATAATTTCAAAACATCAATATTTATGATAAAACATTAACTTTCTGTGATGTAATAACTCACCATAACCAATAAACAATTCCAAAATCAAATAACAAAAAAATAAATATGTTTTTGTTATGATATATCAAAATATAGTCATTGAAATATTGACATTGGCAATGTGATTGAGATGGCATCAAAGATTATCCATGATTTTTTTATAATAATTATGTTCAAAAATACCTTTATTTTTCTTTTAATGAGCTAATTTATGATTTTATCTGACAAAATTGTTTATTCTCAATTATAAATAAAGTTAAATACAGTACGGATCCAGTGAAAATTGATTTGAAGATTTTTTTTTAGATTAGTATCGATTGATTTCTAACAGTGATTAAATCATTGTTGTAAAATGTTATGATTCATATTTCAAACAAAATTTTTAAAAAAATTATCTTATTTAATAATATTTATATTGTTATTTATGTTGTTTATATTGTTATATATTTTTGACTTAAAAGGCCAATTATACATTAGAGGAGAAAATTCAAAAAAAATTTTTTAACATTAATACAAAGCTGAAAACTATAAAAAATTATTTTAATATAAAGTTAAAATAAAAAAAACCCAGCACAGGGGGATCGCGGCACAGTGGTGACGTGGCATAGTTGGATCAATTATTATAATATCTGACAGTGATTAAAATCACTATAAACAAAAACGCTTCGATGCAAATCTTATAGATAGTGTTTAATTTTAAAAAATCGTGGAATATACCAAAAGCAACATGATCTGCTGGTTCGTTATTAATATCCTGATTCAGATAAAGTATGTCGAATGAAAAAGGGATTATTAAAAAAATTTATTTCTCATAAAAAAATTGTGTTGATCCATACACTTTTCAATAAGTTATATCATTATAAAGTTAAAAATGTAAAAAATAAAATCGAGAATTTTCACACAATAATAGCATTCGGTAGCCAATTTCACCGTGAAGACAAAATAAAGTCCGAAATTTTTTTTTGCATAATAAAGTACATTACATTACCTTTAATTTAAGATATATATAAAAGTGTCAGACTTTCAGAAAATTAACGATTTTTAAATTTGTAATTTTTTTGGAGGTTTCCCCCATTTACGAGGAACGAGGGAATTTTTTTCAATTTTTGAGGGTAATGTCTTCGACTAGATACGATTTTTGATCTTTTGACGTATCATTGAAAGAGATCGGTTCGGTGAGAGCTGAGAAAAAGTGGTAACAGACACAAAAAAAAATAATAAATAAATAAATAAACACATCTTAGTAAAATCAATACCTTCTCAGCTTCGCATCGAAGCTAAAATATATACCAAATAATAAATAAAGACATTATGCATCTATAAAAAAAAATTATATTGATTTATTTATTTTTAACTTTATAATGCTATAACTTATTGAAAAGTGTAAGGATCAACACAATTTTTTTATGAGAAATAATATTTTTTAATAACCTTTTTTTCATTCGACATACTTTAACTAAATCAGGATATTGATAAGGAACTAGCAGATCATGTAGCTTTTGGAATAATCCACCAATTTTTTAAAATTAAACACTATCTATAAGATTTGCATCGAAGCGTTTTTGTTTATAGTGATTTTAATCACTCTCAAATATTATTATACTTGATCCAACTATGCCTCGTCACCACTGTGCCGCGAAGCCCCTTTACTGTGTTTTTATTTTAATATTAAACTTTTTTTTTAGTTTTATAAATATAACTAAAAAATGGTAGCCCAATGGGGTCGCGGTGCAGTATGAACGTGGCATAGTTGGGACAAGTATAGATGATATCTAACAGTGATTAAAATCAATATAATAAGAAACGCTTCGATGCAAGTCTATAGATAGTGTTTAATTTTAAGAAATTGGTAGATTATTTCAAAATCAACAATAACTCTTATTCCCTTAATAATATCCCGATTAGTTATTTGATTTATAATTATAATATATGAATATATAATAATTATAGTATTTAAATTTAGTATGAAATTGATATTCAATAATTTAATACTGTAATTTTTACGGAGATATTATAAAAATAATAATGTAGTTGTATATTTCTTTACTTTTAACACGTATAAAAATTTAAAGGGCTTGATGCAATATTTTTCAATAAAAATTGTTTGTTACTTATAACAAAGTTATAAGATTTATACAAGGAACTTTCATCAGAAACAATAATATACTTTCTTAATCAACTTTTCGCGCTGTTTTCAAATGTGCAATTAGACATTTTCTATTACTTCTAAGTTTTAGTATTAAAAAATAAGTATTTACATTTAAAAAAATTATTAAATACATATATTTATATATGTATTATATTTTATGTATGTGTAATGACTTCTATTGTAATGTTTTCTTAATTTTTATTTTGAGTATAAGAAATATGTTCAAAATTTGTATGAATTTTATCTCATGTAATACGACTTCAAACAATTAAATTACCTTTTTTATCATCCTGCGTTGATAAAATTAGTTCCCGATTCGGTAACACTTGTGTATTTCTCGTTAAAGGAACGAGGTTCAAACCCGCATATGGAAATGAATTTAACTCATTTAATTATTGTCTCATTTAGATTCAATAACTATAATAAATATCAAGGCCTCAATTACTGTATTCCCCCTTGTGAGATGCAATTTCTTATCAATTAAAAATTATTTTACGATATGGTTTATTCTTTGTGGCTTTTATTATCAAAATTTTGAAAAATAATTTCTTAACCCTATTAAAAAAAATTAAAAATAACAATAATAAATTATGTCATTATTAAATCACAAGTTTTGCCAATTTTAAAAGTTATTACTGTAATGGGTTCTTTTTGATATTTTCAGATTCAATTTTACTGTTACAGAAGTAATTTAATGCATTTAATAAAAATCCATTAATAAAATTTTTTTTTCTTTTGAAAAACAATTATTAATTTTTAAAAAATTAAAAATTTTGGTTTGTTATGGAATTATTACACTTTGATAAAGGAGTAAATAATATGACTGTCTTAATGTATACTTACATCAAAGCATAATACGATAGTAATTTTAAATCTTTATCAGATTTCAATTTATCTTGGTTAAGTTGGACTTCACAATGCTGAATTTTAAATTGGAATAAAAAATTACTGTAAAATGAGATAATTTAGTGTGACGATTAAACTTAGGGCAGTTAAATATCCATTATTATTTTAACTGAATCAATCTACAGCACAAAGTGCTACTCACAAAAAGTGATAAAATCTGTAAAATATTTAACTGCCCCAAATTTAAGCCCAGATTCAAGTTGACCACACTAAATTTTTGTGTTCACATTATTATAAAAACATTTATGATTTCAAATCACATCAATATTGCAGTTTTATAGTTGAAGACAATAAAATGTTGAAGTTGATAAGTAATAGTTATCAGTTATCATTAGTTAAAAAAAAAACTTATTCTCAAGAATAATGAGTTTATAAAAACAATATTTTTTTGGTCATAAAACAACAATTTTAGTTAACAGATAATTATGCAAATAATTATCAATATAAAATTTTTTAAATATAATTCTAATTATTTTAAATATTAAATCACATATAATTTCGATGCTGTGCGTTAAATCCTGGAGGTATATTATGCAAATTTTGAGGATAACTGGGTTGATTGAATTGAGAAAAAATTTGTGGTTGTGGAGGAAATGATGAATATTGATTTTGAGGCTGTTGGAAACCAAATCTTGGAGGCATGATAGGTGTTGTCTGAGCATAATTAGAAGATTGTGAGTAAAAAGGTTGATATGGAGATTCCTGTTGTAGTGAATGATGTTGATAATGTTGCAGTGGTTGTAACGGTTGATATTGATGTACTGGTTGATGTTGTTGCATTGGTTGATGTTGTTGTATTGGTTGATGTTGTTGTATTAGTTGATGTTGTTGCATCGGTTGATGTTGTTGCACTAGTTGATGATGTTGTTGCATCGGTTGATGTTGTTTCACTAGTTGATGTTGTGGCATTGGTTGATGTTGTTGCACTGGTTGATGTTGTGGCATTGGTTGATGTTGTTGTAATGACTCATGGTGTCCCAGTGATTGAGTATTATGTTGAGGGTAATGAGCTGGAGGTTGTTGGTTGTGATTTGTATTAAGCTCATTATTTTTACAAGTATTCTTAGAATTTTGAGATTTTTTACTATTTTTCTTGTTTTTCTTTGCGAGTTTTTCTTTTTCATCATCTGAATAGTCAATATACTCTGGAGGTGGCTCATTGTTGTCCTTCCAAGATGCATCACTACCTTTGTGCTCCATAGCTTTGGAAATAAACACATATGAAGTGTAATCAGTTTGAGGGGCACAATATACAGTTTCTTTTACTTGAACATCTAATTTTTGTATTTGCTCAGAATCATTAAATCTAATTGTGTAGTATGGTTTGTTAACAGGTCCAACTACCTCAAATATTCTTCCTAAAGCACGTTTCCCCCGATCCACAAACAAAACAGAGTCAATATCAAGTGGAGGTACATTTATAAATGCTTCAACAACAACTAAAATATTAAAATAACAATTATTCAATATTATGTATAACTTTTTTTTAAATAAATGAAAAAGATTACCTAAAGTATCAACTATACTTTTAATATTTCCAATGGGTTTGCATTGTTCCTCTTCAACAGAAATGGTCAAAGTTTCAATTGGAGGTAGATCACATAAATCTAGTTCACCTTTTGTTTTCAAAGGATTGAGGGCTTCTTTAGATATTTCATCATCTGATAATATGTCAGATGATATATCATTGTTTGATTCATTGTCTGAACTAAAAAAATATGACTTTTTTTAAATATATTCCATAAAATAATTTACACATGCAGAAAACTTTTCAAAAATAATAAAAGGTTTTAACTAATAACAAATAATGGTCTATACATTTATTAAATTAAAATTTAGCTCTTAATATTTTTGAAACACATTAAAATTATAAAGTGTATTTTGTACAAAATAAAAATATTCACATATTCGTAAAATATTTAGGATTTTTAGGATTAGGATTAGACTAAGAACAAAAAAAATTTTAGTGACTTATTTTATAAGATGATTTTTTTCTAAAATGTTTGTTCAGCACAGCCAATGGAGGACTTAGCCTATTATTTCTATGGATATGCCACTGTGATGGTTATTGGTTTCAATAAACATAATAAATACAAATCTAGGCTGTTTATTATGTACTAAAAAAGATAAAAAATGTCTTACTATTAAAGCTTAAATTAAATTTTAAATTTAATTTAATTTAAGAAATGTTTTTTTGTGTATACATCTAACATATTAGGAAGATGTAATCTCTTAATGTCTAAATTCCAACTAAACATACATACAATGTTACAAAGGAATACGTATATAATGTTTGATGGAAACATACAAGTAATGTTTATAAATAAAATACCTTAAATATTTACAATTGTTAACAAAAAATGGTTATTAAAATGCTCAGGGAAATCCCTTTTACACCATAGTTATAATGCATGGGTCGATGTTACATCCCTCTATAACGTTTTAAGAACATCAATGGTATAACAATTACACAGTAATCCTTTACACTTTCTATGTGAATATTTTTGAAAAAATTGTATTTTTCATTATCATTTAAAATTTAAAGTCACAATGAGTTTAAAAATTGTTTTAATGTTTATAAGTATAAATTAGAACCCTATGTACTAATACTAACATATAACAATGTAAGTGATACATTAAACATTTAAATGAAATTATATCCAGAAAAAAATTCATCTCTACATAAAATACAATAATTTGCTATATGACAATATGCTTATTTTGAATATCCAATTATTAACCAAGGTTCTGTGGGGGCTTAAAAATTATATAATTTTTTTTTTCAATTTTTTATAATGATCTAAAAAATCTACCTTTTTAAACCAACAATAAATTAAAGATAATGTACTTTAAACGCAGAGCCTTGTTTAGGAGATGGCTTGGAAAGGCAATAGATTACCCAAAATTTCTAAGGGGGGATTTCTTTCAATATTAATGTGCAAAACTCTCAAATATTGTTAACATACATTTGGATCAAAATAATTTTTTTTTACTGTAATATGATAATTTAATGATTTAAATAATATTTTTTGTTCTCTGTTTTAATTTTTAGATAAAAGTTTGATTAAAGATTATAGTGATGAGAAAAAAAAAGTTGACCTTTTTTCTTTTTATTACTTATTAAAATTATTTAAACAACGATTCTAAATTAATTTGCAGGTACCCAATTTTATATAGCTCCCACACCATAATCTTAAATATGGTTCTGTTCTAGTAAATAAACCATTCAAAGCTAAATAAAATTCAATTTTTTTTTTTGTACTATACAGATGAAAAAAGAACAATGTTCTGATGACTTGTCATTGACTTTGATTCTAAAGTCAATTCATGTAATTTTTAGAGAACATCAGTACTTCGAAATTATTCTATTTGAATAATGCATGTATTTGAACAATCATATCAAATTTTTTATTTTCAGTCTTTTATAATGTTCTAAAAAACCTACCTCGTTTAATCCTACATTAAATTAAAAATAAATGTACAACATGTACTTTAAGATGAAATAAGACAAATTCATTATTGAAAGTTAAATAGAAAAATTTTTTTATGATTTTTAAGCTTCCACAGAACCTTAGTTAATGATCATGTTTTCAAAAAAAGTATGTTGAAACAAAGATAATTATCTTAAATATTACTACAGAAAATTTTATTTTATTTTCAGTATTAACATTTAATATATATATTGTTGTTTCAAAATACTTTTTTTGAAATAACAATTATTAACCAAAAGCATAAAAATTTATATCAAAAATTGTATTCTTTTCAATTTTTGATGTTCCATAGAACCTATTATCTTTAGACCTACATTTAAAATAAAGCATTGTACTTTAAAGTGAAAAAGAAAACTAACTAAAATCTTGATTTTTAGGATTTATTGGGAATTAAAGTCAAAAAATATAATTTTTGGTACATATGTTAAATTTTTTTGAATATGTTTTTTTTGTATTATCATACATAGTAACGGTTTATTTATATCATTCTAGATTTTTTAAATTTAAGCTTGTTTATTGTCATATATGATTAAAAAAGAAACTTGTCAGTGACATCCTTTATGAGTAATCAAGCACTTAAGTCAAAAACATGCTATTTTTGGTTCATATGTTAAATTTTTTTGAATATATTTCAAATAAGTATAGAAGTTTTTTTTATGGCAGTAATTTAATCGCTCTAAGATATTAATGAACACTTATCTAAAAATGGCTCAACTCTATTTTAATGGATCTTTACTGTTATATACTTATTATTTTTAATTTAAAATATATATATTTTTTTAACTTATATAAAATAATTTTATAATAATACATATTGGTTCAGTCATTTAATAGCTTAATGTGTTCAATAATTTTTACCTGCTATCTTGATAGTTTTGAAAAATTAATGATAAAGTTGATGTTTCTTCATATAACACAACATTAGATCTAAAAATAATAATAATAATAATAAGGATGTAGTATTAAATTATTTTGATGTCAGACACTATTTTAGGAACAATTTATTTTATTTTATCTAATGCGAGTAAATAAAGCTTATATTATCTAATTTAATTGTGATCAGCATTAAAATGGGTAGAATTACTGTACATATATAAATGATTTAACAAATATTTATTTTAAAATGTATTATTAATAAGTAAAATATACATATATATATATTATTTAAGCTAAACTTACTCGTTTTTCTCATCCATTTTCATAAGTTATAGTTAATTTCTGTGTTGAATAAATTTACAATTTACAAATAAAAAGTATCACCTTATCATAATTTATTTTGTTTTGAAGTTAACCACGTGCGTTCTTTATCATGAATATTCACAGGTTTAGTTAAGTATGTTACAACAAATAAGTGATAGTAATGATAATGTTTATTATCATTCCCATTGTTTATTATCAGACCCTAAGTCTGTATTTGAACTTCCGTTATACGTACTCAATCAAAGGTTTTAAAAAAGGAATTTGATCATTGTGTATTGCATGATAATTTTAATAAATATTTAATTATAAAAAAATCTAATTCGTTATTGTATATTACATTTTTTAATCATTCAGTTTTGATTATATTAAAAAAATGAAAGCTGTTGTAGAACAAGTTCATACCAATTCTGTTTTTTAATAGTAAATGGTAATGTTTTACTCTTTATTTATGGCGAAGAGCATTTTTTTTAATTTTAAGAGGTTTTAATAGTACAATCCAAATAATTACATCAAATGATAAAAATACACTTTTATTTTATTTTGGTTGAAGTTATCAATAAGAAGGTAAGCTATTTATATCAGCAGGAACATTAAATTGTGGTATGATTCCAAATGTAAAAAAGGCCTCATACGATATGACAGCAGCACTAATAAACAAAAAGAACTGTTTTAATAAATTACTACACAGACTGTTTAGGAAGACACCAGTGATTGACAAAAATCATTATCACATATCACTTTATTTATAAAAACATTCTTTAATCTAGTTGGCCCACTTACACTTTAGTTATACATCTCTTCACCAACATCATATTTATAGCTATGTTAGATGAAAAGATAGTTTTGAAATGTTAATTATCAGTATACCTATTGCAATAGTTTAAAAACTCATTTTTTTTTTTTGTAAAATTTTTTGTATCTTACTCAAGAAGCCTTTTGTTAAATTTCCAAAAAAGCTTAAATGAGAATCTTTATTTCAATTTTACTTTTTCAATCATTATTTTTAGATAAAGTTTTAAAAGGAAGTCCTATATTGTCATTGATCAACAATGATCAAAGTATCATTTCTCTTAAATATGAATGTTAAAATTATAAGGATTTAGTAAAAAATTTTATTTTGTTTTGTGTATAATAATACTATAGCTTTAACTATATTAGTTAGCTATTTTATCATTGTTTACAATTTTTAAATTTTTTAACTTTGAAGCTGAGTAGGTATTATTAATTTAGGTTATTAGAAAAGAGGGCATAATTACTGCCAATGCACTCTGACCCGATAGTGCACTGTGCGCACACCATACCAAATTCAATGATAAAAATTGGTTTTTCACCACAGTGTAATGTACTTAGTTCTATGGAGTTTCAGAATTTTCATTCTTGTTTGTACAGGTTTCCTTTAATTAAAACCCTGCTTTTACAAGATAATTCTAAATCTATTCAATTTAGTCAACAACAATATCAGTTGGTCTTTATATATACTATTGGTACATTTGCTAAATTATCATAGAGTTTTCCAATGTATATTGTGTTATAAAACAAATAATTAAACAAACCTTTAATATTGAAGTAAAATTTTTAAACATAGCATTTATAAAATTTCAAATATACAAATTATTGTAAAATTAATAGATTTGTGATGTAGCTTTTGATATATATGAATATTACACTCAATATTTAGAGAAAAAAAATTTCTTTTAAGCGTCATAATAAATTCTCAGAAGCAAAATTACGTTTTTTTACTAAAAAAAAAAAATCACAATGTTAATAAGGCAAAGAATAGCATCAATTTATAATAATACATTTTTCAAGAAATTATGTCATGATATTGCCTATCGATAAAAAATTTGATTGAAGTATAAATTATCACATCAAGTAAAACATATTTTTAAATTCATTGGATTAAAATTGTTTATTATTTATTAAAAAAAAAACCCGTTGTATTATTTANTTTTTTTTTTTTTGTAAAATTTTTTGTATCTTACTCAAGAAGCCTTTTGTTAAATTTCCAAAAAAGCTTAAATGAGAATCTTTATTTCAATTTTACTTTTTCAATCATTATTTTTAGATAAAGTTTTAAAAGGAAGTCCTATATTGTCATTGATCAACAATGATCAAAGTATCATTTCTCTTAAATATGAATGTTAAAATTATAAGGATTTAGTAAAAAATTTTATTTTGTTTTGTGTATAATAATGACTATAGCTATTTTATCATTGTTTACAATTTTTAAATTTTTTAACTTTGAAGCTGAGTAGGTATTACTAATTTAGGTTATTAGAAAAGAGGGCATAATTACTGCCAATGCACTCTGACCCGATAGTGCACTGTGCGCACACCGTACCAAATTCAATGATAAAAATTGGTTTTTCCCCACAGTGTAATGTACTTAGTTCTATGGAGTTTCAGTATTTTCATTTTTGTTTGTACAGGTTTCCTTTAATTAAAACCCTGCTTTTACAAGATAATTCTAAATCTATTCAATTTTGTCAACAACAATATCAGTTGGTCTTAATATATACTATTGGTACATTCNATTCTAAATCTATTCAATTTAGTCAACAACAATATCAGTTGGTCTTTATATATACTATTGGTACATTTGCTAAATTATCATAGAGTTTTCCAATGTATATTGTGTTATAAAACAAATAATTAAACAAACCTTTAATATTGAAGTAAAATTTTTAAACATAGCATTTATAAAATTTCAAATATACAAATTATTGTAAAATTAATAGATTTGTGATGTAGCTTTTGATATATATGAATATTACACTCAATATTTAGAGAAAAAAAATTTCTTTTAAGCGTCATAATAAATTCTCAGAAGCAAAATTACGTTTTTTTACTAAAAAAAAAAAATCACAATGTTAATAAGGCAAAGAATAGCATCAATTTATAATAATACATTTTTCAAGAAATTATGTCATGATATTGCCTATCGATAAAAAATTTGATTGAAGTATAAATTATCACATCAAGTAAAACATATTTTTAAATTCATTGGATTAAAATTGTTTATTATTTATTAAAAAAAAAACCCGTTGTATTATTTAATAAAAATGTGTGTATTATTTTATTGAAATAAAGTAAAATGTATGTAACAGGTCACAGTGGTTCTGATAACTGTTCTGATATTTGAAATATTTTCGTTAATCAGTTATAATAGTGACAAAACTTAATTTTTTGTTCAAGTAATGTTTTTAAAGAAACAGTAGTTTAAATATTAATTAACATTAATGATCAATTATTTGTAAAAACTTTTTTTCTAAATATTTTTAAAAATGTTGTAAAAACTAGATATTTGTTTCGTGTTTTAGTTTCAAAATGCAAAACATTTTATTTATAATACAAAAAATGAACATAAGGTTAAGTAAGAAAGTTTGACATGAAGTAACTAAGTGTAGTTTTGCTGATAGCCTTTGATTATTTAATGTATAAAAAAATATATTCGTTAATAGGTTTTCTTAATTTAAAAGTTTAACACAACACTAGTTAAAATTAAGCTAAAAAAATTTTAGAGGACACTGTTTTCCTATTGTCATGTATACAAACACTACTTAATTTTTAATGACTTCCGCAGAAAAACTAACCTCGTAGGAAGTAAAAAAGGGAAACCACAAGGATACGACCTCGAGGCCAATTTTCGTACGTTAGATATTGCTAGCGCTTTTTAACTTTGTGTAAAACTTGAAAAATGTTTTTAACGAATGCGATTGTTTATAATGTGTTCTCAATAGTTCTGTTTATGAAAACATTTTCATTATTCCTTTGAGTTTTGACACGTTTTCAGCACCCATTGTTCACGTGCAACTTGTGTGTTCAATACACGTGTTTAACACGCAAATTTTATGTATATAAATTGAAATATCATGCAAATAATTAATTAGTAACATCTGAGATACATGTGATTCCTAGCATTTGCACAGAAATCGCATGACAAGCCTATTATACATAAAATCTAAGACAGACGATATTTATATAATACAAATTAGGTGAGACCAAACGGTTTTTATTTAAATTTATATTTCAAAATTAAAAACAATAATTAAAATATATTGGTATAATATAAAATATATAATATAATATAGGTCGTCGAACATAATATAAAAAATTAATAAGTAATTTTCTTGTCACAGATATTAAAAATATTTTTACTTTACATAAAAAAAAATGCCGTTCCGGTACAGCTCTTTTAGCCGTTTGTTAGTCTTATAAATTAAAATACACAAGTGAGAACAATCGATATCATTAAACGATACCAGCAGTGTCGATATTAGCTTAATAATATTAATCGTTTGTCATTTATGGTGTGATGAATCCTTCAAAATTTGACTGAGCACGCGACGGACCGTCCGCAGACCTTGTAGGAATCCAGTGTCTGGACTACAAGGGTCGGCAGACTTTTCGGACCGATCGTCGTCCCGAGAACACTCGCACTGGGCGGTATCGTCAGTGTCCGGGACGACAGCCGAAGGATTGTCTCGGGAGAAGAACGAGGCGTTGGCAAAATCAATTATGCGAACGTCGTACGGAGTAGTGTCGGCGGACCTGGAGGATGTGGTGTCGTCGTCTTCGCTGTCAGAATCGTCTTCCGAGGACGAAGAACAACCGCTGGAAGAATAACCGCGGCCGTCCTCTTCCGAGTCCACGTCGTCGGACCACGGGAAATTGCTGTCTGAATAACTGGCCGGAGGTGTGCAGTAACACAGCGACGACGAACACCTGTGACGACGACGTTGATCTATGTCTGATAGCTCGTCGTTTTTGGTCGTCGTTATCGAAGTGTTGCGACTTCTCACGTTGTTAACCATATGGTTTCTGTTGAAAAAACCAAAGAAACAATCATTTTAATATGTTATTAAGATATTAATTTATGTACTTAGTAATTAATAATTGAAAAAATTAGAATAATTTTTCCAATACAAATAAGTTGTTAATACAAATTTGATTTTATATGCTTTAATAAACCAGAATCTCGTTTGGTATTATTAGCTTATAGCCGCGTTTATAATTAAAATTTACTGCTTTTTATTCTAATTTTGTTTTTAACTTATAAATAAAAACATTTTTAATATTATATTTACATTTTCTAGACTAACAGATAAGGGATTCGATTTTTCTTTTTTAAGTACCAATTAAGAATTATAAATTATAGTTAAAAGCGTTACTAAAATTTATTTAAAGAGCCAGTTTTGTAAATTTAATTATTATTACCGACTTCATTTACGAGTCGGTTGTTGCACATAAGTTATGAATTATATTTTTGGCATCATTTTTTTCGAAGTGTTGTGCGAAAAAAAGGTCATCAACCTATGTAAATTGGCCGAAGGAGTATCACACACCAATTCTTCTAATACCGAATTTAGCTTGGTATTATAGTGCCAATAATTTTAATTATGCGGCCAACTACATTTTTTTTCATAATTCAGTAAAAAAAACTATTAATTGTAAAACAAAAAGTTTATTCAACTCGCGAAATTTATTTTAGAAAAACCGTATCTCAGAAATAAACTATCGCAAGTCTACATATTTTTAAATAAGTTAAGACTTTTTGAAATATTCATTTAATAAGCATTTCAAAAATGGCCTAGTCTCATTTTTAAAAAATNTGTAAAACAAAAAGTTTATTCAACTCGCGAAATTTATTTTAGAAAAACCGTATCTCAGAAATAAACTATCGCAAGTCTACATAAAAGTTAAGACTTTTTGAAATATTCATTTAATAAGCATTTCAAAAATGGCCTAGTCTCATTTTTAAAAAAAGCGATAGTTTACTTCTAGAGTACAGATATTAGTGTACTCAATAGCGTAATCAAGACGAAAATCTGCAAGTTTTATCCAATATTACTGAGGGAAATTACAAACTTTCGGTAGTAAAAAAGGTCTTAAACTAATACAAAACCACTCTTAAGTCTGTGGGTATCAAACGCATGTTAGAAAACCAAAAATACTTACATAGGAGAAGAACTGGAATCGTGCGACTCGTTGGAATGACCATCGTCTATGTCTTCGACTTTTGGCTGTTCTTGACGCTGCATTGGTATTCGCGTTTTCGGTGGCCCGAAACTTGACGGTACTCCCTCGTAGACAATCAAAAGCGAACTGCCAGACAATCGAATAAAATAAAATGAAATCGCATAAAAAAAACATATATTACTGTTTGTATATATTTGTTTAACAAAGTAGTAATTGTTAACAAATATACAAGAAATTTATTGCCTGTTTGCACTAGAGACCTGACACCATCGGTGAGATATCACAAGAAAAATCTCGTTTACCCACTAGGCCAGGCCGACACCCTAACCAAAAAAATAATTCCAAAATTATGACCCCATGATTGATTCTTTTACCAACCAAGAATAAAAACGAAGTGCTCGTGAACTGGGAACTTGTGAAGAATCTGAAGTAGTGGCGGCGGCGTTCTTCATGATGGCGTTGCGAAGGTGTCTGAGACGTCGCAACACGCCTTTTACGACGTCCAGTCTATACGAATCCACTGAAATGTCTCCGTCTTCATTTTCGTCGTCCAAATCGGACGACGCGGTAGACTTTGAAAAGAACAGCTTAAGGGCTCGTTCAAACCCGTCGACGTCCAACCGTCGTCCCCAATACTTGTCGCGTTTCAACAAAGAATACGCATTTCGATTGTCACCCGTACCGCAACAACCTTGATAGATCTATCAATCAGACAACAAAGCAAATTAACACAATCGAACTCGCAAATAATACTGTGAACAATAATTCTGAGAGACAATGATACGGAAAAGTACCAAGGCACAAAAATTTGATTTTTTCATGGTAGAAAAAAACTGTGTAAACTTATGGCCACGAACGTTTTTGAGTACGAACAAAGCAATATTATTGAAAGAGCCCATGGATAAAGGTGAAAATTTTGAAATTGTTCAGGAATGCTACTTTTTAGCTAAATATTAAAAATCTATGCAACTTTTTTGATATTCAATATATAAAAATACACATATGCAAATATGGTGGGGAGGGGGGTGCTTTGACAACTTCGCACCCTCTGGAAGGATATAAGCGTTCCACCATTCTTTTAAGGTTTTGTAAAGAATAGATAAAATAATTCCTTATAATATTGTATAAATAACTACTTCTTTTTGAAATATTGTCTTTTAATATTGTGAGTGTGCATCGTCAACGATATAGTAAGTGTTGTATTTTACTTTAAACATAGTAATATGTTTTTATTTCAACAATTATAGTTGTAGCGCCCACAGTGATAGAGAAAATATTCATATTATACACAATCGTTTATTTATAAATAGAAGATGGAAAAATATAAATAGAAAATATAAAGAAGGTGGGGGTAGATTATTTCAATTAGAGCGAAAATATTTTCTTGGGACTTTGCAACTAAGTAACCCTAAGTTTAAAACACTATTTACACCTATGATGAAATAACTTTTAAGGGGGAAAATATCGATCTAGAAATTATCTATAATATACAGATAACTAATGTATCATGAATCGATTAATTAATCAGGAAGTAAAAATAATATTAACTACAACTATATCTTGGATATGATACTTTCCCATGTCACTAAAAAAGTCAGTTATAGCCTTTATCCATGGACCTCTTCAATCGTTGTGTTGATTTATTTATAATCAAATTATTCTTAACACTATTCTAAAAATCTTGTTTATTTATTAAAAAAACGGATGAACAAAACAAAATAAATGACAATGTGTACATCAAATAAATAAATTATTAGACAACGGTTTTTTTTTTGTCGTCCAAACAAAATGTTTATAAAATTAACAAAACCATTTATTAAATAAATATCCCGACAGTTTAAATAAATTACTTGATTACCATAACAATATTTTACTATACACAGAAAAAAATAATTAGTTAATAAAAACGACCTTTAAGTAACAACAGATTGACTCTTTACAAGCGTAATTATATAAATTTTAAATAAAATTTAATTTTGCAATTCTTACAACTATAGTTTTAACAAGTATTTTTTAACAATAGTTTATTATGGTATTATATCATCAGTTCTCTTCATTTTGCCGTACAATTTAATGAATGAAAAAATATCGATCTAACCAAAAGATATGGAAAGATTGTTTTGTCCAAAACTATCGGACAAAACAAACTGATTAATAACGACATTTTTACTCTCGTATAAATAATTAATATTTACCTGCATTCCACATAAACGTACGCCCAAAGTAGCAGAAGTTGTCATTCGGCATTTAAGTGTTTGTCTCAATCGTTTCTGCATAGTGGCGCATTCGCTGTATTGTCGCACGCCCATTTTCAAGTCCAAAATGCACGGCAATTTATATTTACGTTTGCTAGTCAAGTTTTCCAAAAGTAAAAACACTGTAATATCAACGATAGAAAACTTTATTTTTTCACAAATCACGTTTCATTTAATTAATCCAAATAATATTGATTTTAATAGATTTTTTTTTTTTTTTAATGAACAGATTGCTCAAGTGGTGGTTTTAAAGGGTTCGTATAAAAAAAATTGGTTAAATTAGTTAGCTAGTAAATCATAGCTTCTGGAACGCTATTTTCGTTTTGTTCTGGGACACAATGAATGACACCGTTCCAAAACCCATAACTAGATAAAAATCATGATTTTCTTTTTTATATGCTTTAAAAATACTAATTATTGTGGTATTATCTGTACATAATACCTCAATATTGATGGTTTTATTAAACAAAATGTAATATTAAATGATAAAGATCTTGTGTAGTATAAATATCACGCATAACTTGCAATCATTATTTTAGTTAAAATAATTAATTATGTTCATAAACAATTGGTAAAACGGACGGAAACCCATAATTGTACTTCATCTACAATCATGAAGGTAGCTTGAAATATTCTTCAATGGTAGCCATAGAATCATATTGTATTTCATAAATTTGGTTAGAACATTTGGCGGGAAGCTTCTCCATTGCATTTCTTTATCTCCTCTCTCCCACAAAACAGAAATTCAGTTCATTTGCGGGGGGTACGAATGTTTCTTTGGTGGGTAAAAACGAATCCCGAAATACACAAATACATTTTTTTGTCACTGACAAACGACTAGGGAACAATTAACTTGAATACAAGTTCTATATTATAATAATGTTATATTCTACGAAGCCATTAATCAAATGATAAAAAAATCTAAGGATAACACTTATATAGCAAATATATTTTATTAAAGTCAAAAGATTTTGTACGTCTATCGGATTGAGCTCAATCCATTTGCAACATAATCATTCAAGACTTATTTATTGTTTGGAGGTCAAAATTATCCTTAACATAACTTATAATGGAAGAAAGTATATGTCGAACTCTGTCAGAAATGGAGTATAATGACCTCTTTTGACATATTCAGTGACGTTTCTATTACGAAAAGATTGTTTAATTAAATGTTATAAGTCTTTTAGTTAGTTGACGACAATTTTTACGAAATGAACGAGTTGTTTACAATTATTCTGCACGTCGATTCGTCCTTAGACTTCAATAAACTTAAATTTAAACTTTAATTTGTTTTGATACGTTGACGACATTTAAGATGACAAGATTACTAACAATCAATTAAAAATAACAAGTCGAGAAAAGTAAACAAAAATAACGTCGACTAGGTTTAACACAACCCTTGTTTTTGATTGAGAATAAAAAAATTATTATTTTATTCTCTATACAGATAATAATTATTACTGAGGCTTATTATATCAATGCACAATGTGTTGTTTTCAAGGTTACTTTAGATGCTGCTTTTCAAGTACACATTTCGATTTATATAACGAATAATTAAAAAAAAAACTTTTTTTGTATTTTTAAGACAATTATGTTATTTTAACACTTTCGAGCATAATGAGGCAAAAATTACTCATTTCATTAAAATTCGGTAAATTAAAAGTGTATTTTGCAAAGTGATAAAAATATTAAGATATGTAATACTTTTCCTTGTGTTATGTATGAAAATATTTATGGGCACAGCCTGGGTCAATCAAGGAGGGCTTATTCTTCCAAATTTTATAAAAAATCATCTGTATTTTTAAATAGAAAGAAATTAAGTAACATTCAACAAATTTTGTACCAATCGCACTTATCGAGTATAGTGTGTCTCTACTTCCAGACCGATAGACTTTAACTTAATATCGACGAAAACGTCAACACTATACTAGAGCTTTAACAAGAAAAAACCAAAAAAATTTTAAATTTCTTTAATAAAAATATTTCTAATACTAATTAGGTGTTTTTAACAATTATTGTAAAAAGTCTATAAATCAAAATAACGTAAATTTCCATTTAATATTAAAGCAAAATTCAGTAATATTGTAACTAATAGCTATCTTCTTCTTCTTCCTCGCCTTAATCCCAACTACTTGGGGTCGGCCACCCTTATCCTAAGCTTCCACTTGAAACTATCTCCCACATCCTCTACGCTTACACCAGCTGCCCTCATATCGCATTCAATAGCTATAACAGCCAAAATGTTTAGATCAATGAAAATATACATATATACTGTGTTTTAAGTACAATATATTTAAAATGTAAAATACCTATTTCAATATTAATCATATTTCTAATACAAATTCATATTAAATTATACAATAAGTAAAATGATTTTTAAAAGGTTTTTTTTTTTAGTAGAATATGTTTTATTTTAAAACAATTATATTGGGCTAAATTGATATTTTTAGTATCTATTTTTTAGCGTTTTGTAGTTTTAAGACTTTTATTATAGAGCAATTTTAAAAGTTGTTAGACATTTAAGCTCTAATTATTATTACACATATAGAAATTTGGCTAATGGGCGCAGATCAAAATCAGCCGCAACGACGTTTCCATAATTCAGAACAAGTTAGAATGGTGAACGTAAAAAACAGTTTTTTAACCGATTAACGCCATGTCATCAATAACCTATTTTTTACTTGATAATCTTTTAACATAAGCTACTAGACCTAGACGAGTGTCGAGTACACAATGACGTAAAAAAAACTAAATCCATACGATGAATTAAAACTGAGGTAAATAAACTCCGCAGAGTTCTCAGATAACATTTAGAGTTCCCAGTGATAGATAACTTTATACGCACCGATAACACTTGAGATGTATTTTCACTACCGTACTGTAAAAACAAAATTAAAAGAACAAAGAAAAATTCAATTATTATATTTATAACGTCCAGCTTTCGAACAGTTTCGGCAGCAGATGACGTAAAAATAAAAAATGCGTGTGAAATATTATTGTGCGAAAATCGATTGAATAAAAATAGCCAAAGAAAATACGATGACGTCATCGCTGGTTCGCAAGAATGTGTACAACTTGAGCTTGCGTAGTGTCAGTCCAAAACGGCAACGGATCCAAAAATCAAAACTGGATAGGACTACTCCAAAGTCCAAACAATTGACGCGTTCCGACCTCAACGCGAGTACAACTATACGCGCCATGCGTATGAAAAAAAACCCAAAGTATAAATTACGTTTGGACATTTATCGACACAATTTACTTGCATTATTTACAGTGACGATAACGATTATTCGTTGCCGTCCAAATAGCGATTTATTCGTTTTTTAAAACGTCATACTCGTCAACGTCACAACAAACTACTCGTATTCGATACGTTTACAACACGCGTTCATTAACTACGATGCTCAACACAATGGCCCAACGATACGCAATAATAATCCCGTGCACCTATTGTGCCTAACTTTTAATTACTTTGTTTTAATCACACATTATCTGTACACAGATTACTCGGGTTGGCTTCTCGTTATCGAAACGCTATTCGATTACGTACAAAAGACGTGGGCACACAAAGCAAGACAATATGTAAGACGAAACGATAAGAGAATAGGTGTACTAACGTTGTTTGTCCGAAGTCGACGAGGGATCCGGCAGAGTCATGAGTCTGGCGGTTTGGAATTCGTCGATACGGTTGCTTTTGTCGTCCGAACAGGAACGGCAGTACAACATTTGAGCGTTCCGTCCTTGAACGGTAACATTGACGTCGTCCTGCGAAAGGGCCATCACCCCTTCGAATTGTGGCACGAACTCGGACAGGTCACGGTTCCTCCGGGAACGCACGCGCCCACAATCGTCAGACTCGTTGTATTTTTTCAACGAACGGTTCCTCCGGTTCTGTTCCTCCAGTTTCAGGTAGAATTGCAATTCGCCCATGTTCAAAGGTTTGCAGACGATCATTTGTCCTACGTCCAAATCCAAATTGGTTAGGGACGACGAATCGGTGGATTGACCGGATTTACTGGACAACACCATCAAACGCGTATGACCGCCGACCTAAGAACCAAAACAAATCTTCAGTCAAAACATAATGTATTGGTCGTACTACAAAAATATTACATGACCCTATCCAATCGTGTCGCGAATTCTAAACAATTTTCGTTGTTATCGCACGTCGTGTCGTTTAACCAAACGCGACGAAGGTATTCGTGACGGGACGTGGACACACGACGAGTAGTGGCCTTTACAAATTTATTGGGATGTGTGTTCGGTACATTGTACTCTCGATTATTCGTCTAATGAGTTTGGATACGATATATCCGAGAAAATATTCAAGAAGAAACGAAAATGGTGCGAAACCGTATGGCTAAAAACGTACCCCACATCTTCTGGGGGTGACTTTCACCCCCACGAGTCGTAACAGTTGTATCGTTCACAGTAGCCGAAAGGTCTGAATTTCAGGATCGCATTTAGGATCTTCGACGACACAGCTGTGACGATTACAACAGTAACGTGGAAAATCGTTGTGACACGCGGAATCCGAATTTTTATTCAAAAATAATACTTAAATTAGTTTAAAATACATCGTAATACGTTCTGTAAATAATTTTTCAGTCAATAATAAGACTGGTAAATATTTTTCGTTTAAATAGCACGAATTGTAAATAATATTGTCGTCAGTAACTTATAGAAGGACGTTGTCAATCAGTTTTATGACACTTATACCACGTAAACGGTATAAAACAAAAACAAGTACCCGTCGTATATATTTGGAGTTGAGATTATCCAATCTTAATTAACACTCCATACGATTCACATTTAGATTTAGTCACGAATCGCTTGTTATAAAGTCACGTGACTAATACTCAGTGGCCATCAGCATAAATGTACAAAAAAAGAAATACAAAAAATATTATGAAAAAGCATCTAAGGGAATTTGTTATTTTAGTAAGTACGTTCCAAGCGTAGGCGTCGTTGGCACAGACCGATCTATATATTAAAAAATAAACGCCTCTCCTTGACCGTTAACTATCAAAATCGGAGCATTAAAAAGTGAACATTTTTAATGAGCAGTATTTGACCGACTGAAATTGAAATTTTATAATTTTGGATTAGATAATACAAGTTTATAATTATCAATTATTTCATATAGTAATGAAGTATAACTTGATCAATCAACAGGACGTCATCTAATTGCTGTATGTACGTCAAATTTTTATTGAGATGATTTTTCAAAGGAAGTTCGTGTTTTCATCAAGGATTTAACCTCTAAACTATAATCTTTAGCCAATATGTTAACAATAAGCATGACGTTTTTGAATTCTATGATTTTTGTTTCATTTAAATTCGGTTTAAATACTATTAATTGTTTATTAAAACTGGTATCTAACATTGAAAAAAAAGCAAAAGGTTTATTAGTAAATTTTTGCATTAACTGCAAAAAAAAAAAATTAATTA